ATTGTTCTCAGGGACAAACAAAATTTGTTATTTGAGGGACAAAAAATTTGTTACTCAGGGACAAAAGAATTGTTACCAGGGACACAAAATTGTTATCAGGGGCACAAAATTTGTTTTTAGGGACCCCAAAATTGGTTACTGGGGGGAAAACCACAAAATTTGTTTTAGGGGACACAAAATTTGTTACTGGGGGGGACCCCGGGAAATTGTTACTAGGGGGAACCAGAATTTTACCCCGGGACACAAAAATTGTTACGGGGGGAACAAAAATTTTTAAAGGGACACAGAATTGTTACTCGGGGAAACAAGAAGGGTTCAGGGAAAAGCCCGGGGGTTTTTAAAATAAGGGCCCCGGCCACGGGAATTGTTACCGAGGGACCAAAAATTGTTACTAGGGACCCCAGAATTTTTTACTAGGGGACACAAAATTTGTAACTGAGGACAAGAATTGTTATTTGGGGAAAACAAAAAATTTTTATTAGGGACACAAAATTTGTTTCGGGGACCAAAATTTGTTACTCGGGGCAAAAAGAATTGTTACTGGCTCGGTCGTCTTCTTCCCAGGTCACCTTCTGACACCTACAGCCAATACGGTCAGGTGGGTACGTCAGTCACAACCCGTTAGCGTTGGGCATGGCCCGGGGAGGGAGCAAGCCCACTGCAAATCACGTGTCTATACTACCTGCCCTGTCCTTTGGGTGTTTCCCTACACCAAGACGAAGTATCGCATGCTGTGGGCTCCAGCCCCTACTGTACAGTGAGGAAGAGCTAACAGAGTAGCGGTCAGGAACGGGGGGAGACATCCGCCTCTTCAGCACGCCAGGCGAAGAAAGAAGTACTGGCGAGGAGAGTGGCTCGGTTAGCCGGTCTAGAGACAGGTCTGTCTCCTGACCACACGCAGCACGAGGTGGGGCTAGTAGTGAGGCGGAGACCTAATTGATGATGATGAAGGCTGATCGCACTGGCAGCCTCGTCGTCATCAGGCTATTGCTTCCGCATCATCAGGAGAAGAGGGGTGCCTAGCTTGGCAGCGAGCAAAACAGTCGGTGGGTTGCCCAGGATGGCAGCAGGGTCGCAGCAGGTGTCAGTGGAGGCAAACGGCCACGGTAGTAGAGCACCAGCTCCACTGCAGCCTAGCCTACCACCACGGCCAGTAGTGGTGCCCTGGTGTGCACGGAGGAGGAGTCAGCAGTCAGCCAGTGAGGAGTAGCGGGGGCAAAAGTACTCCTACTCGGCGGTTGTGGCACAATTTTTCGTCAAGCGCCCGAGGAAGTAACGTAGCCGTATGTCGGACTATGTGGCCAGAAAGTCAAGCGTGGCCAGGGGGCCCATGTTGGGACTACAGCGTTGCGTCAGCATATGCAGCGTCGCCATTTCGGTGGCCTGGGAAAAACCGTTGATAACAAAGATACGGCGCGGTTTATGCCTCCTGCCCAGCCCCCGCTCCATCACCCGCTCCGTTACTTGCTCGCGTCACCGACGTCAAATTCGCCCTCTATCAGCCAGTCAAGGCTCCAACACCTCTGCTGAGGGGAGTTGTCGCTCGGTTGGCATCTTCCGCTCGTTCAGATGTCCTTCTTCCTGCTACTCCTCTTCACGGATTCCTGTCAGCAGTCTTTCTTGGAATCCGTTTCCAAGAGACAACACGTTTGCGAATGCAGCACCCGACGGTGCAGAAGCTGAACGTCCTCCTGTCAAGTTGCTGGTGCTGCAGTCCCTCCCTTTCCAAGTGGTGGACCTCAGCAACCTTTCCGAGAATGATGGCTTGTGCCGAGCCGCGGTGGAGAGTGCCAAGCCGGCATTTCTTCGCCAAAAAAGGCAGTGCCAGCCCTGCATTCACATGTAGAAGAGATGGTGGGCCAGTCTTTGAGCATGTCGGTCTCTGCCAAAGTGCACGGCAGCGCCGACGTGTGGAGCTGTAACTACGGTCAGGGACAGTACATGTCATTTACGGCCCCACTGGGTGAACGTGGTGCCGGCACAGCCGCACCAGCAACTTGGACAGGTCACGCCGCTTTTGCCTCCACGTTTGCACGTCCTTGGTCCAGCAAAGATGTCCGCCTCTACCACCTCTTCTTCCGCCGTGTCCTCAGCCGCCACCCCCGTGCCAAGTCCCATTACCCGACCGGCATATCACATGTGCAGGGTGCGCAACGGTGTCACGCTGTGCTGCACCTGGTATGCCTTGGCGAACGTAGTCACACAGGGGAGGAACTTCTGAGTGTAATGAACAGAGAAAATCGACAGATGGCTGTCTCCCGCGCAAACTGAAAATCGGAACCATGTTGACCGACAACGGAAAGAACATGGTGTCTGCTCTGCGTTCAAAGGAAGGTTGTGCCATGCGCCATGCATGGCTCACGTGTTCAATCTGGTTGTCAAGCGGTTCCTAAAATCCACCATCCCACTGCAAGACATCCTTAAAATGTCACGTAAACTTTGCATGCATTTCAGCCATTCCTACACCCGCAAAGCACACCCTCCTTGAGCTGCAGCGGCCAGAACGGAATTCCACAGCATCGCCTGATCTGCGACGTTGCAACAAGGGTGGAATTCAACCCTACATATGTTAGACCGCCTTTACGAACAGCGAAAGGCCATCACCGATTTCCTGATGTTACAAGCGGATAAAGGTACTCCCTGTGTAACTTTAGATGTCAGCCATTGGCAGCTCATGCGTGACACCTGCCGCTTGCTCAGGCCCTTTGAGGAGGCCACGCTATTCGTGAGTCGGCAGGACTATGGGATGAACGACGTCATTCCTCTGTTGCACGTCCTGGAACAAATGCTGTTAACAATGGCTGGTCAGGGTGCGGTAGACGTGGCGCACAGATCTCAACGCCACATGACCCTGTGGGGGCAGGACAGGAAGAAGAGGAGGAGGTAGAGGAGGACATTGGTGCTCAGGAATTATTGAGTGAAATGGGTGGTTTTTCCACTCAGCGGACAGGAGTGGAGGAGCAGGAGCATCTGGTAGAGGAGGAGGAGGAGACAGAGGACCCAGACGCACCGTGGCAGTATGCTGTGGAGATGGAGGCAGGGAGTCCCTCGCATTCCTTGGCACAAATGGCCCATAGCATGCTCGGTTGCTTGCGTAGCGACAGCCGAATAATAACCATCAGACAGAGGGATGACTTTTGGCTGTCCACCTTGTTGGACCCTCGCTACCGTTCAAAAATGGTGGCCTTTTTCACACCTGCTGAGAGGGAGGCCAAAATAACGTACTATAAAAACCACCTATGTAGTCAGTTGGTCTCTGCCTTTCTGCGCCAACGTCCATCCTCAGACACTGTGGGCCCTGGGCGCTCGCGTTCCGCTGCCATGGCAGCAGGGGAGGGGTGGGGTGGTAGGAGCAGTGGCAGCTCCACCAGCAGCAGCTGCCTCAGTCTGCAGTCGATGATGAGTAGCTTTCTTCACCAGCGCAGTGAGGAAACTACTAACCAGCCGCAGCAGCAGCAGCATCAGGTGGACCTGGAGCAGGACCTCAAACAACAGGCTTGGGCCTACTTGGACAGCACCCTGCCAACCGAGGTAGACAATCCCCTTGACTACTGGGCAACGAAACTTGACCTTTGGCCCCAACTAGCTGAATTTGCCCTTGAAAGGCTGTCATGCCCGGCCAGTAGCGTGGCATCGGAGCGCGTGTTTAGTGCGGCAGGAGGTATTGTAACTCCGCGGAGGACACGACTGTCCACCCAAAGTGTGGAGAGACTCACGTTTGTGAAAATGAATCAGGCGTGGATTAGTCTGGATTTCAAACCACCAGTTCCTGACACAACTGACTAAATCCGCCATGAATCATGCCCCAAACATGTTATTATTTTTAACATAGGCCTCTGTATGGCCTTCAATTTAAGCTGCTTACGCTTCGCCACTCTGCCATGGGCCCCTGTACCGCCTCCTCTTGCTGCTGCCAGGTCCAGAGTGTGTCATGGGTCCCTGTACGGCCTCCCATTGCTGCTGTCTCCATCGCCACTCTCTCTGCCATGTGCCACTTTCAGGTCTCCTCACACTGCTGGTGGGTTCCATTTTGTCATAGGGTGCTGGCAGATTACGGGCCTCCCATTGCTGCTGCCAGGCCCGTAATCTGCCATGGGCCCCCGTACTGACTCCTCATGCTGCTGCCAGGCCCGTAATCTGTCATGGGCCCCTGTACCGCCTCCTCATGCTGCTGCCAGGTCCAGAGTGTGTCATGGGTCCCTGTACGGCCTCCCATTGCTGCTGTCTCCATCGCCACACTCTGCCATGTGCCACTTTCAGGTCTCCTCACACTGCTGGTGGGGGTTCCATTTTGTCATAGGGTGCTGGCAGATTACGGGCCTCCCATTGCTGCTGCCAGGCCCGTTATCTGCCATGGGCCCCCGTACCGACTCCTCATGCTGCTGCCAGGTCCAGAGTGTGTCATGGGTCCCTGTACGGCCTCCCATTGCTGCTGCCAGGCCCGTAATCTGCCATGGGCCCCCGTACCGACTCCTCATGCTGCTGCCAGGCCAGTAATCTGTCATGGGCCCCTGTACCGCCTCCTCATGCTGCTGCCAGGTCCAGAGTGTGTCATGGGTCCCTGTACGGCCTCCCATTGCTGCTGCCAGGCCCGTAATCTGCCATGGGCCCCCGTACCGACTCCTCATGCTGCTGCCAGGCCCGTAATCTGTCATGGGCCCCTGTACCGCCTCCTCATGCTGCTGCCAGGTCCAGAGTGTGTCATGGGTCCCTGTACGGCCTCCCATTGCTGCTGTCTCCATCGCCACACTCTGCCATGTGCCACTTTCAGTCTCCTCACACTGCTGGTGGGTTCCATTTTGTCATAGGGTGCTGTATGGCCTCCCATTGCTGCTGCCTCCACCGCCACACTGTGGCTCCACACTCTGGTTTTGGCCCCGTGACTGCCCAAATGAGTGAAGTGTGCGGTGATTCTAAGATCGACGGCACTCATCTGCATGTCATACTGACTGACAGTATTATTTCTCTTCCCCAGCAGACTCCAAGGGCATTTAAATTAAAGGTACAGTGTTCTGCACTAATATAAAGGCTCTCTGAAGCCTAGAAACACCCTTTTTATAAGTTAAATTCGCAGCGAATATATTCGACTCGAATCGAATTTATTCCGCGAATTCGCCGAATCAGCCGAATCGAATTTTTGAATAATTCGCTCATCTCTAATCTATACCATAGTTTGTAGACGCTATAACTTTCTCACAAAGCAATCAATATACACTTATTGGGATTTTTTTACCAAATGCATGTAGCAGAATACATTTTGGACTAAATTCATGACTAATTTTGAGCTTACTATATATTTTTTATAACCAAAAGTAAAAAATATTGTTTTTTTCAAAATGTTCAGTCTTTTTTTTTTTATAGCGCAAACAAATAAAAACCCAGTGGTGAACAAATACCACCAAAATAAATTATAACAAAATAAAGCTCTATTTGTGTGAAAAAGGACAGCACAAGCACCAGTTGAAATAGCGCAGCGCCGTAACACAAAAAATGACCTGGTCGGGGGGGGGGAATCCTCTGGAAGACAATTGGTTAATAAAAGGATACTTACGTGTCCAAGCATTCAGTATCATCCTCATTCGGGCTGATTCTTCACTGGTCTTCGGGTCCACTGCACTTGCATGCTTGTTAAGTCAAACCAGTTGTTAAGCTTTGTGGCTTTGCAGCCGGCTATTCAATGCACATGTGCAAGCCACACTGCTCTTTGTGAATGGTCCTGCAGTCTCCTGGGACCTGTGATGTATCCCAGAAGGCTGCAGGCAAAGGGGGTAGGTGAACTTCCATTCAGATTGCCTAGGCGATCGGGGTGGAAGTGGGAGCAGGTAATTGCCAAAACCAGGTACTCGCTACCCCCTCCCCCAAAAAAAAGTTTCCAAATGTGGGAAAGGAGGGAGGAAGGAAGCGGAAAAGTGGACCTTCCCCTTTTGGATGAAGTTCTGCTGAAACTCTAAATGAAGGGCACCTTGATGACATCCTATAAGTGAGTGGGCCTATGATTAACTTTGCTGATATTATCTTCTATGTCTTTGAGGTTGTGTGACACAGGGCATCATTCAATCTGAAAGACTGAGAACATCTTGTTGCCAAAAAGAAGTACTACAGGGAACAACTGTAGAGTGAAGGTGAGTATTGCAGCCTGAGATGTTTTTTCAGCACTTTCCTGTGTTTATTCAAATTTTAAAAATACTGTGGGGAGTTGTGTTTTAAATGTTTGCATATCTGTTTAAAGGAACTCCTTCATGTCAGAAATGTGAAAACTGTTATGGCCGACCTACTGATTGAGGTAGGTGGACTTGTGTCTTTTTTTCAACCAGACTAACTATGTATCTAAGTAACTATGACCTGTTCCTCAGAAAATAGTAAGAACTTGCCCCTCAGGCTTACTCTCTTGCTTCTTTTCTTGGTTTCACTGATCCAGAACAAATATTCAGATAACAAATATAAAGGCTTTACTTGAAGTTTCCTGATCTACATGCTTGATCTGAGCAAGTGACTCTGAAAGTATTGACAGTGGATCTACAGAAGAGCCAGCCAAATAGCATTTTTAGAAGGAATTGCAGCCCTACATGTCTCTTATCACCCAAACTGTCCTCTTCACTCCTCCCCAAGACCTTCTGCTCTAGTTCCCTTGTCATCTCCTCCCATGCTCATAACCAGGACTTTTCTCCAATCCTCTGAGACTCCCTACCACAATCTGTCTGGCTTTTTCTGTGCTGGTATTTTGTATCATCTACTCTTAGGCCGCATTTAGCCATGTTTACCCACATTTAGCGTTTGGACGTTTATTCATTTGATTGGCCAGAGTATTTTCCATTGACATGGATAAACGCCCAAGCGCTAAACGCGGCTAGTGTTTAGCTGTGTTTAAACACGTTGAGATGCGTTTACAAGCGTTTTGCCTGAATGCGATTATTCTGTGCTCAGAAGAGGAACTGCCCCTAAACTCTGCTGCTCCTAAACTCTGGTAAAAGCCTACATGGGCTTTTATTGAGTTGAGTTCAAGGGCTTTGGCAAAAAAAAATGCCAAAAGCTCCTAAACTCATGTTTAGGAGCAGCAGTGTACATGAGGCCTTATGTCCACAACAAGCTAAAATCTTTCACTCTATTCTCCTGTAAAATGGGGTTTAACTATGAAACTATCTTAAGTTATTTGTTGGTTGAAATAAGTTGTAAACAATGGCAATAACGTGACAGTTTCTTAACAACCCCCAACCATTATGTCCAGCAATTAAGCACTATGGGCAGCGTGCTGTGACGATAGGTGGGAGTGTCCAGACTGTGCTAACAGTGGTTGGGGTTTAAAGGGGTATGGAAAAATAAAACCCGAGTCTAACAGACCTATACAACACTTAGAACAATCATTAAAACATGAAACTCTTCCAATAAACATGCTTTTCAGCCTTGAGAAACCTTAATGAAGAACTTCATAAAACGGTTAAGGCCTACTTAGAAATCAGGCAGCAAGGCAGTGACCACTTAACTAGTAGCCGACCACAGATAGCCGAATGACGGCTGCACTGCGGCCGGCCAGTTCTGAGTGGACGTCATATGACGTCCCACCAGAACGCGCTCTCCTGCGCGCCCCCAGGGGGGGGCGCACCCGGCGATCTCCGTGATCGCTGTGTCCTATGGACACAGATGATCACGTGATGTGGTAAAAGGCCAATCACAGCGGCCTTTTACCACCTGATCAGCGGTGTCCAATGACACGCTGATCTGAGGGAAATGCAATGCCGGTTTTCGGCTGCACTTTCCTCACGCTGTCAGATCGTGAGGAAAATACTGCCGAGAACCGGCAGTTGTCAGAGCGAGGATTGGCACCGATCATCAGTGCACTGATGATCAGTGCCCTGATGATCGGTGCCCAGCAGTGCCACTCGCAAGTTCCGCCCACCTGTGCCCAGCAGTGCGCCCACTAACTCCGCCCACCTGTGCCCAGCAGATCACCCACCTGTGCCCAGCAGTGCACCCACCTGTGCCACTCTGCAGTGTCACACACCTGTGCCCAGAAGTGCCACCTACCTGTGCCCAGCAGTGCCACCCACCTGTGCCCACCCACCTGTGCCCACCAGTGCCACCCACCTGTGCCCACCCACCAGTGCTGCCCACCAGTGCAGCCCAGCAGTGCTGCCAGTCAGTGCCACCAGTCAGTGCCCAGCGGTTGTGCCAGTCAGTGCCGCCAGTCAGTGCCCAGCAGTGAAGCCAGTCAGTGCCGTCTATCAGTACCCATCATCAGTGTCACCTATCAGTGCCGCCTATCAGTGCTGCATATTAGTGCCGCCTATCCGTGACACCTCATTAGTGCTGTCTATCAGTGCCGCCTATCCGTGCCACCTCATTAGTACTGTCTATCAGTGCCCTTTAGTGCTGCCTATCAGTGCCCATCAGTGCTGCCTCATCAACGCACATCAGTGAAGGAGAAAAATTACCTGTTTGAAAAATTTTATAATAAAAACAAAGAAACTTTTTTTTTTTTTAATTTTTTGCACCTTTTTTATTTTTAGCGCAAAAAGTAAAGTGCCCAGTGGCGATTAAATACCACCAAAAGAAAGCTCTATTTGTGAGAAAAAAATGATCAAAATTTCATATGGGTACAATGTTGCATGACCGCGCAATTGTCAATCAAAGTGCGGCAGCGCTGAAAGCTGAAAATTGGCCTGGTAAATAAGGAGGTATAAGTGCTTGGTAGGCAAGTGGTTAATTACCCTCATATCAGACTCCTCCCTTCACATCAGAGTTCCCACATTTACATCAGAAGTCTCCAAATTCAAATCAGAGCACCCTGTTCACATCAGCCTCCCCTTCTCATCAGGAATACCCCCATTCACATCAGATTCCCTCCTTCACAAGTCACCCAGTTCACATCAGAGTCCGCCTTTCAAACAATAGACCCCCCATTTACATCAGGATTCCCCCATTCACATTAGGAGTCCCTTATTCACATCAGAGTACCCCTTTACATCAGGATTTACACCCCCCCACACACACACACACACACACAGCCTTTCACCTCAGTGTCCCCACATTCACACTAGTCCCCAAGTTCATATCAGAGTCCCCATGTTCACATAAAAGTCCTCATGGTCATATCAGTGTCCCCACTTTCACATCAGAGCCTCCACATTCACATCAGAATCTCCCAGATAGGTGTCAGCAGGGGGACACATGGGCTTGATATTCCGAGTAGTGTTTTTTCTTGGCTGACTTCAGAGAAAGATTTCTCTTCCAAAGAGCAGTATTTGACAGCGTGGCCATGAGGTCAGTATTTACTCTCTTTTTTTATTGGCAAATCTTTTTTGGACCATTTAATTATGTGTACAGAATCGCTTTAATACAATTTAGAAGCTAGAAATAGTTTAAATAGTAAATCCCATATGACAATCTTTGTAAACAGACTTTTACAGATAAAATATACAGCTGTGTTCAGAATAATAGCAGTCAGACATCACTAACCTGATCAATCACTGTTTTTAGTAGAAATGATATTTCTACATGGCAAATAATTTACTAGCAGGTGTAGTAGAGTAATAGAAATCCAACAGACCCAACAGTCATGACATGCATGCTGCTGATTCTGTGTAATTGTATCACTAATTGAAAGGGGCATGTTCAAAATAATAGCAGTGTGGAGTTCTATTAGTGAGGTCATTCATTCTTTGAAAAACAGGTGGCAATTATTGCCCTTATTTAAGGAAGGAAGGCAGCAAATGTTGTACATGGTGGTTACAGTGCATTTCTCTCTGAAATTCTGAGGAAAATGGGTCGTTCCAGACATTGTTCAGAAGAACAGCGTACCTTGATTAAAAAGTTGATTGGAGAGGGGAAAATATATAAAGAAGTGCAGAAAATGATAGGCTGCTCAGCTAAAATTATCGCAAATGCTTTAAAATGGCAACCAAAACCTGAAAGACGTGGAAGAAAGCGAAAAAGTACCATTCCAATGGATAGAAGAATAGCCAAAATGGTAAGGACTCAGCCAACAATCAGCTCCAGGAAGATCAAAGAAGGTGTAAAGTTACCTGTGAGTACTGTTACAATTAGAAGACGGCTGGAATACCTGTTCACAGGTGCCAGAAGTTGGTTGACTCCATGCAACACAGATGTACAGCAGTTCTCAGAAACAGTGCTTATACAACCAAATATTAATTAAGTGATTCAAAGGAAAGCAAAATCTTCAAACATCTTTCAGTTTATATAGTGAATGTTTGAGTTTGTAAAGAAGAATACAAACACTGCTATTTTTGGAACAGTCTAATATTCACTTTTCTTCAATTTTTTTAGAGGAACAACACAAATTTGATATATTTTTCTTCATGTTTTGATTTGGAATAGAATGTGTAGTGTTCCCAATGCATTTGTGTGTATGGAAATAAAAGCTATTAGATGGATTTTGAGCTTTATTCACTTTTTTCAACATACTGCTAATATTTTGAACACAACTGTACGTAGCTTAAAACCATGAGAGAGTAAACGTAGTTTGTTCCGCTGATCTGCAGAATAAAACCTTGAGTACATTTGTTAGTGAAAATAGTAGTGCAAGGTATTGAAAATAACACACTTAAGTAAAATGACCTCTTAGTCTTGAATGTATATGGTTTCTTCATAGAACGTTAGATTCCATGTATTTAGAATATGCAATGCACAGCCTACATATCATAGTTACCTGTGGATGCAAAGCTAACCTTAGGTTAAAAACGGTTTAAAACTTTCATGATAAAAAGGCTCTTTGTAACAGTGGATTAGAGTATGTGAGCAGCAGGGTACTCCATCTCTTACAAAGGTTTAATCACAGCTGGACCTAGATAGGGCTACTTGGGTCCTTGAATGAAAGGAGAGTGATTTGCATAAAATGTCACTAGGACAACATGTCCATGCTGCTTCTATACAATACATCTCCATGTAAGAACTCAGCAAAGCCCTAATATGAAAAACAAAACAAACTGACTGTTGCTGTGTTGCTGTGTGTGCTTCCTGCTAATCCTCACTGTGCTTTCTTAGAGGACACAAAGAAACAATCATCTTCCCAATATTTCTGTAAATCACAGAATACCAAAGAGCTCATGACACTGAAGTGGTTCTACCAGAGAGTTCACTGCAGTATACAATCCATGGCAAAAAGTATGGAATCACCACTCTTGGAAAATGTTCATTCAATTGTTTGATTGTGTAGAACAAAAAAACAAATCAGACATGCCTCAAAACTATTGTCATTTAACATTTCAACCTTCTGGCTTTAAGACTGGCATTCTGTTTTTTTCTTCAGTTTAGTCACGTTTTTCAAAGAAAAAACAGATGATTTACATCATTTTTTCATCAATTTACATCCGTTTTTTCATCTGTTTAGATCCATTTTTCATCTGTTTAGATCCATTTTTCATCCGTTTACATCCATTGTTGGTCTGTTTACATCTGTTAACATCCATTCTTCATCCATTCTGTTTTTTCCTTCAGTTCAGTCACATTTTTTCAAAGAAAAAACAGATGAGTTTACATTCATTTTTTCATCCATTTACATCTGATTTTTCATCTGTTTTTTCATCTGTTTTTCATCCATTTACATTGGTTTACATCCGTTTAGATCCATTTTCATCTGTTCAGATCCCTTTTCATCCTTCACATCCATTTTTGGTCCGTTTACACCCGTTTTTCATCTGTTCCATTTTATTTCAAAGAAAAAATGGATGAGTTTACAAAAATGTTTTCATCTTGTTACATCCTTTTTTTTCATCCGTTTTTCATCCTTTTAGATCCATTTTTCATCTGCTTGATCCGTTTACATACGTTTTTGGTCCGTTCCGTTTTTTTTTCTTCAGTTCAGTCACGTTTTTTTAAAGAAAAAAACGAATGAGTTTACATCCATTTTTTCATCTGTTTACATCTGGTTTTACCCCCTTCCTTATCAGGCCATTCTTTTGCTATTCAGCATTGTGCTACTTTAACTGGTAATTGCGCAGTCATGCAATGCTGTATCCAAACAAAATTTGTTTTAATTTTTTTCACACAAATACAGCTTTCTTTTGGTGGTATTTGATCACCACTGGGCTTTTTATTTTTATATTTATATAAATGAAACAAAAAAATGAAATCTTGAATAAAAAACCCCAATATTTTCTACTTTCTAAAAAATATTCAAATAACTCAAAATTCACCATAAATTTAGGACAAACTGTATTCAGCTACATCTACAAATATATGTTGCGCTCCTAAATACTTCTCAATAAATAATTAAATTATTACCATTAAATTAATTCAAATTATGATACAAATAACTAATAAAAAGTGTATAAATACCAAAAAATATTTAAATAGATAATTTCAACTAATCAATCTCCTCCAAATAAATATCAAAATAATTCCACATAAAATACTCCTCTGAAAAAAATATTTTGCCAAGTGCTCATAAATCATTAGTGGCATGATGTACTTACTAATACCCTCAATTTCATTTATATTCATAATACCCTCATTTAATATAACAAAAATAATAAACCAACTAATAACACTTAACTAAAACACATTTAAATGATCCCCATAAACAAAAATAACCAAATGCTCATAAATAACTAGTAGTGATTAGTATGAATCAATCAATAAACTCCTTAGTTACACCCCTACCACAAAAAACACTACTTTCTCCCTAGAAAGTATACAATCTAATAAATTCTTTTTGTGATACACATCTAAATCACCCAAAATACCTCCAAATATAATATGTTTAAATAAAACCACACACATAATTCCAAGTAAATAGAATAAATATATATATCTAAAAATATATTAATAAACACCAAAGTATCCAAGTCCCAAAAAGTATTTCCAAAAATATTTTCTTATAAATCCAGTGAGGCAAAATCGATTCAAAATACTCCGTGATAACCTCAAAGAAAAAAGAAAAGAAAAAAAATTCATAGTGTATTACCCTTAAAATATAAACTTATATACTTCACTCTGTGCACAACACAAAACACATCAAAATTGTGCAAATTAAATTAAATTAATTAAATATCAATCCAAATGAATAATAAATAAAAATTAAATAAAAATAAAAATAAAAAAATAAAAATAAAAAAAACCAAAAACGTGAAAAATCGTGATCACTCCAACCACAAGTGAATGGTGATACTAGGTACTAGTACCCTTTAAACTCCAGCCAAAAGTGATACCAAGTACCATTACCCTCTTCCAATATTTTCAGGCATAAGCTGACATAAAGAAACGGTATCTCTCCATCCTTCTTTTTCAGGGGTATTCCTCATACAAGTAAA